GCAAAGACCTCGCGTGTAAAGAGCGTGTCAAGAGTTTTGATATCTCTTTGCACAGCCTTATCAAAACAAACAGTATAATTAGACCGGCCACATGTTGTTATGCCCTATAGTCGCACTTAATTATACTTTACTAGGATTGGAATATAACAAGCATTTTAATTTCGTGTTAATAATTTGTGTTTTTAAATCATTATCAAAATAAAATAAATTTAAAAGTATGTGTGTGCGTGTAAGTATAGGCAATAGCTTAGTCGAAATGAGTAGACGTGTGCAGATAGAGATCGCCTATCTATTTTGCTAAATCTGACATTTTTACAGGATCATGATGAAGATCAAATGAAAACACGAAATGTGTTTTTCTTAGGTTTATCTACCCTGATTTCGAGTGATTTGAACTTGGACGCATATTCCTCTTTTAAAACAGTTTGAATAATTAACAAAGTCCACTTTGAACCGTGTCAATCAAATTGTCAAATATGTAGATAGCACATGCAGGCCCGAATACAGGGGGGATAGATTGGTTCTAGCGACCCCTCCCCTACCGTGACCAAAATTGCATTTTTATCCCATACTGAGCACATTTTAAATTATTTTGGCCATTTTTGAACTAACATTGCCAAAAGTGAACTCCCCCTGGAATTTCTTAAAAAGTAACCCCAGAATGTTCGTTTCTGTGCCCCCCTCCCCCCCCTATCCATGGCCAGTAAGTAATCTATGTGTATATTGGCTCCCTCCCAAAGGTGGGAAAACCAGATGCAGGCATAGACATTGACAGGGTGAGGGGATTTAAATATAAAAATAGTCTTGTTTTTGGCTCCGATCCGACTTAAATATTTTGGCACTGTTTAACGAAGCCGGTTTAAGGAATGAGAGGCAGAAATAATTCCTAGAAATAAGATGGCCTGTCTTTACTGTAATCAAGATGCTACCTAACCGCAGTTATTTTGGTTTTATAACGCCGGGGATATTGCTCGAGCTTGAATAACAAATAAAAGGCATGTTCTTATTTCTGTATTCTGTCCTTTGATTGTGTATTAAGTTGAGCTGCACGCCAAACGTTAAGATTGTTAAAACCTTAAAATAAAACTTTATTCCTCTCAATTTACATAAAAATGAAACAGATTAGATTCGAATCTCAGTCACACCAGCCACTGGTCAAAGGAAGTACAATTATCTATATTAATCAAATGTCTGATAATTTGATAACTGTCTGGGATCGAATGTTAATTTTATTGAATCAAACTAAGAAAAGTATAAAGATGAATTTTAAACGTTTAGAGGGAAAAGTCAAATATGCATTGTAACCCTAAAAATAATTCATTAAAGTGTCGTACACATTTCATAACATTTATATAAATAAAACAAATAAAGCACAACCCTAATGCCCTAATGAATTCATATCGGCGCTAAACGACCCTTGCAATAAAAACGCATCGAATTCTTCCGAGACTGACTTTTGTTATTTCAAAATTGAAATATGCCTAATTCCTATGAAATAATCAAATAACCACGCGATCTTTTTCCCTGGGTTTTACTCTATTTTAGATTTACTAGAAAAATGTTTATATGATGATTGCGTTTGCTTCTCACGAGTTCATTGAAAAGTTCAGTCGTAAAACTTTAGAGATCAAAAGACTAATTAGGCACCTGATTGCGAAAGTTTGATTGCATTTCGATCGCCGGGATTTTACAAACGTATTGTTTAAGTAGCGATCGTGTTCTTGGGATCTTGATAACTTCCTATTTTAAGTTTTGGGTTGAAAGCAATGAGTATGTCGGACTTTCTCAAGTCCACATAATGAAACAATATCGCTTTATATTAGTCCAATGGCATAAACATACCAGTTTTTATTGCAAAAAGAACTGTAATTAATAGCCTACATAAAAGCATCATGATAAATAAAACATTAAAGCATATATAAAGCCTTTTGTTATCAAAATCCATAAATCCTCACCATATAAATATAGTTTTATTGATGACCAAAAACAGATATCAAGGGCGTAGCCAGCTTTCAGTCAGGGGGGGGAGGGGTGCGATCGCCAAAAAGATTTCGGTTTTCAGTCAGGATGGTATGATTGTGGCATTCTAATTCTTTCTTCTTCTTTCTCAGCGTTTTATTTTTATTGTTATGGGGGAGGTTGCGATCGCACCCCCCCCCCCCTCCTGGCTACGCCTATGGATATTTTGGCAACTTTCACGTTTACCCCGCCCCCTAATAATTTTTGCACCCCCTTTAAATATCAGACCCGTCAGGCGTTGAGGCATGGATCAGGATACCCTGACTCCCAAGCTGTGCGACTTCTGGCAACCGCTACACCTATATTCCCGGGGAAAACGCTTTTAGAAAAATTGTCAAATATGGTCGTGTGTGGGCAAACACGGAGGAGGAGGAGAGGGGTGCATGCATTGCGTGCGACCCTTCATCAGTTGTGTACCTTATTTTTGTATGAATTTCTTCCGAATAGTTATGCTAGAGGGGTTCTGATATTTATTTCTGTTTTCAAATGAAATAATTTCACCCTTGCCGGACTGACTTGTAGATAATGCACGAATCAAATAGCATGGAGATCAGATAATCAGATTGATTCGTATTTTCGCAATCAGATGAATTAACTTATTGTTTTCTCTGATTAAACATGTTAAAAGGCGGTTTGAAGCTACTTTTACAGGATTTGTAAATTCGCAATCAGACTGGCTTATTTTAATATTTAGTCAGTGCAAGAGGAGGGGACTATTAATGTAGAAATTTTTTTTGATTTCGACACTAACTGAATAATTTATCACAATTGTTAAATACGCAAATAGAAACAGGTTTAAAAATGAGAATAGAGGCAAAAAGTCTATTCATGTGTAAATGTAATTAAAACCCGGGAATTAAAAGCAATTTTAGACTGTTAGATCTCTTCTGTAATCAAGGTGATGTTGGTACACTTCCGCAGTTAGAAAAACAAAGACTAAGACAAAGACTATATAGCAATTAATCCTTTTGTAATCATTAAATGTTAGATTCTTATTATTTTGTTGGACAATGTTCAGACTTCTGACCAAGATTAAATCATTTATGTTTTTATAGTATTTCAATCAGACAGACGTGCTAATGAGTTCGAAAAATACATTTGTCCATTTCCTCTCAAGAAGTTTTCAAAGGTAATCAAGTCGATTTGTTTGAGTGCTTAGCATTGTTTTTCATAACTTGACGCGTCCATGAACAGAATGACTTTGAAATGAGTTTTTATAATTTTAGCTTTTATACGGACATGCTTATTAGTATATTTCTATATGAACGTTGTAGTTATGTGATGTAACATCGCCCCCCCCCCCCCCCCGATATTACAGGTATACAAATTTTGATCGGAATGCATTAACTTGCAATTAAAAGCAATTTTAGACTGTTAGATGATCTCTTATGTAATCTAGGTGATGTTGGTACACTTCCGCATTTAAGAAAATAAAGACTAAGACAAAGAGAACTAAGCAATTAATCCTTTTGTTATTATTAAATGTTAGATTCTTATTTTTTGATTGGACAATATTAAGACTTCTGTCTCCGATTGTTATGCAGGTATGTGTATAAAATCATGTGAACAACATTATCGTGGAAACTCCCATCTTCATTCTCATAATGTCTTACAGCTATTTCGCAAATGACATAATCCTAAACAACATATACCCTGCGTGCAATGACCAAGACAGGCTGTACCGATATCTGCAAAAAAGAGTACATATCAGGGGCGTAAAACCATATTTGATATGAATACTTCCATACAACCATCAATATCCATTCTTTTGAAATAAGATGTTACAACAAAGGGAATATTGAAAACTACAGTGGTAAGAGCATCTTTCTGACTGCTTATTATGTGATCAACATTTTGATTGCACCTAAGCTGGAGATTAAATACTAGATTAGTAAAAATATAGAGTTACGTATAATTACTTCATGTTAAAACACTATATGTATTGCTTTTGGTAATTAATTAGTTGCATTCGCGAATACAAGATATAACTCCACTTTGCTCCTGTGCAACCCCTTACCGGTCACAAATCTGGAAATAATTACTTCATGTTAAAATACTATATGTTTTGCTTTTGGTAATTATGTCAGTTGCTTACACATAATTATCAATGTGCCAAGAGCGAGTAATGAGATTCCAATCAGCGCGTGTCAAGACTTTTGGCATGGTCTGTGCACTGCTTTGCATGGCGTGTGTCAAGAAGTGCATAGATGTGTAAAGAGTTGGATTCATCGCGTGTCAAGAGGTGTAAATAATTGGCACGTCTAGAAACCCGGCGTGAAAAGACTAGTTTCTAGACGTGTCAAGAATTGGAATCCCATATTTCACGCAGTGGATGTAGAAAAGCCCTCTGTCTAACTGATTGTCTGTCTGTCTGTCTGTGTGTTGATGAATATATATATTTCCAACATTCATTTCAAAATGTTATTTTTGTCTTTGCAGAGAGATGTAAGAGCATAGATGAGGAGGATGTCCGAATGATAGAGCAGCTGAAGCTGTTGAATGACCTCACAGAGACACTTGAGATCATCTTTGGAAAGTTGCAATTGAAATCAAATGAAGGTTAGTTGTCACATACATAATGAATAGTTGGAATGTTAAACAAAGACTATATATTTTTTTTTTATTGTTGAAAATTAGATAATGCAAAGGGATGGTGTTCAATTATCAACAGTTGTGGATTAATGAAGTTAATTTCATTATGGTTTGACCCCCTCCCTTTGACTTTAATGTTGATTTGTCAATCACTTGAATATTAAAAAAACACTATTCACTAATGTACTTCATGTATCATTTATCCCCTTCCCTGACACAACTAACTTCTTTATTCCACAACTGTTGATCATTGGACACAATTCTAAGTGAATATCATTCTACAAGAGCAACTGTATGTAAGAGAATGCTAGTTTTTGAATCACCAAAACATATACATCACATGTATTGAAACATATTTTGAGCCAACCTTTTCATGATATATGCATCACATGTTTTGTACCTATGTGTACATAATACACCATACATTACATGTATTGAAACATATTTTGAGCCAACCTGTTCATGATATATGCATCGTATGTTTTGTACCTCTGTGTACATAATACACCATACATTACATTACATTGCAACACCCTGCACATAATCTTATGAGAGAAATATATTTCAAAAATTGTTTTAGTCTCAAGTCTTTGTTGCACCTTTAACTTTCATCATGGTGTATTTTGATTGGATCTGAGCTTCCAATATTTTCCAGATCGTGTCTCATGTCCATGCCATGTATGGGCAGGCCTGCCTCTTTGTCAAGTTCCTGGCTCATTTCTACTATTTCACCATCCTCTTCCTCACCTTGTTTGGCAAAGTAGCGCTTTTTCATAAGTTCCACATCTGAGAGTACTGTATCAGACACAAAGGGATAGCTATATCCTTGAATATCTTTTTCAAGTTCTTTTAATGTCTCAAGTTCAGTTTTCTTGTCATTTTCTTGTTTCCATTTGAGATAGTCTTGGTTGTCAATGTCATGAGTACCATGAATCATTTCATGTGGGTCTGCAACACTAGGGTATTTTCCATCATCATCAGCATCTTTTTGGATTTCTTCATCGTCATTCTGATGGTCATTACCTTGCTCTTCATCATTATGCATCAATACACCATGCATGCAGTCCATGCCTATACAAGGCCCTTTCTGTTGAGGGTCTGTGTCAGACATTGTGTCTTCTGCATCATTGTCATTGTTGTGGTGTTTGCCAGCCTCATCTTCACCATGCATCATGACATCATGGAGGCAATCAAGACATGGTCCATCATGCTGACTAGAAGGATCACCTTCAGCAACATCTTTTTTCTTGTCCTCATCATGTTTGTGAGCTTTCCCCTTTTCCTCCTCATCATGCATCAGGACCTGATGCATACAATCCATTCCTTCACACGGCCCCTGTTGCTTGGGCTGCTCTTCTGGGCCAGATTTGGGTTTGTGTTTGGCCAAGGGGTCTTCATTGTCATTATGCATCAGTTCATGCATGCAATCCATTCCTTCACATGGTCCTGAAATGTGTTAAATATTGGCCAGAGATTATGATAGAATGAAATGAGGTATTAGTGGTTTGATAATAAATAGAGAGATTTCGCAACTCACTTATTGCATATTTATTATTAGACTCCAGATGTCAATCTGGAGTCTATTGTTTTTGCCAGTATTCTTCTTCTTTATTATTATTATTATTATTCTTCCAACGTTTTCTCCTTAACTAGAAGACATTGAGTCAAGACCTGTATATGGTTAATTCAGGTCCAGTATCTAGTTTCTCGGAAATTAGGTCAAATTTTTATCTAGGTCAAAGGTCAGGAACTGGGTCAAATCCAGTACTTTGTCACTTTTTTCAATTTTCTCAGTCGTCCTTCAGTATTTTTGATCCGGGTTTTTTTCATTGTGTTCCTCATAAAAAAGTAGGAAAGCTAGGGTCGATTTAGTTTTTTGATATCTCGAACCAATTTCGAGATATCAGTGTCCGAAAACGAGGTCCGAAAAAAAGTTCTCCGAATCCGATGTCCAGGATAATAGTCTTATAGGAAATTTTCAGGATTCCGAATCTGAAAACCGAATTGATATCCGACTTCCGGTTCAGGAGTTATGACGTTTTGAAAGTTCGAGGAAAATCGATCTGATGGTACCCTCATAGAATGTCAAGAAAAGTGAAATAAAATTGAAAAAATACCAGTCCAGTCCATTTCAAGGTCCAAATCAAGGTCAAGTCCAGGTCCAAGTCCAGTTTTGTTCAAGTCAAGTCTAGGTCCAAATCCAGTCCAGGACCTAGATCAAAATTTAGGTCTATCCTATCCTTTCTATCTAGATGATCTTATTCTGGATGATTCTCCCTTCCTATCTATCCTTCCTTCCTATCCTTCCTTCCTATTCTATCCTATTCTTCCTTCTCATTCAATCCAAGTCCAGGTACATGTCCAGGTCCAAGTCAAGTCTAGGTCTAAATCCAGTCCAGGGCCTAGGTCAAAATCTAGGTCAAATTCAAAGTTTTTCCCTATTTTTGCGATTCTGACACTACACTCTAATTATATTGTTCGAAATTTTGTATACTTGTAGCCAAGAGTGTGCTAATAGTGTTAGCCTTTTGCCATCAGAAAGTATTTTGACCCACTTTTGAGATATGGTGTCCGAAAAGTAGGTCAAAATAAAAAGTTCTCCAAATTTAACGTTTGAGTTATGAATTAAGGGTAGAATTTTCTCAGGAATCCGAATCTGCAAACCAAATTTCGATCCGACTTCCGGTTCCGAAGTTATGGCGTGTCCGAAAAGTAGGTCAAAATAGAAATTCACCAAATGTAACGTATGAGTTATGAATTAAGGGTAGAATTTTGTCAGGAATCCAAATCTTTAAATCAAATTTCGATCCGACTTCCGGTCCGGAAGTTATGGCGTTTTGAAATTTCGGAAAATCGATCTGATGGTATCCTGATAGAAAGTCAAGAGTAGAGAAGTCGAAAATATTGAAAAATTTATCCATCCTTCCTATCTGATCTTATCCTATCCTATCCTTCCTATCTATCCTTCATTCGTATCTTTTCCTTCCTATCCTCTCCTAAAAAATACATCTTGATTCGTAAGATAGTTACATACTATTTCGTGAAGTTCATCAGTATGGGTTCAAATCGGTCTTGCACCATGTATGCATATAGACTTGAGAAACTATGGAGAGAGTTAGGAACAAGGTGGGGCCGACAGCGCATTGGCATTTTATCTTACATATTTTACCGGTATTTCGGTAACGGTATGGTTATTAGCGTGACGGTTACCGGTACTGGTTTTCAGTACCGTTGCGACCTCTACTCCTATCATATCCTTTCTTCCTATTCTGTTCTATCCTATCCTTCTTTCTTATTCTATCCTATCGTTCCTTCCTATTCCATCCTATCCTACCTTCCTATTTTATTCATCCATCTTTTTCTGGATGACCCAGCTTATTCTGGATGACTCGGCTAAATTGGTCTAAATCTGGAGTCTGAAATTGAACTTCGTTCAATTTCCAAAGTCTAGTTATTTAAGGAATAAAGACCGAGATTTTATGATTTATGGCGTAATGTATGACCAAAAAATTTATTCTGTTCATTTTTAATAGACCGTTTGTAGCGCTTGAGGTCTTTTGCAATGGCCAGAATAAAATTTGAGGTCATATACTGTACTTGACATAAATCATAAAATCGAGGTCTTTGTTACGATTCTAATATGATAATAAACAGACTTTACACAACTATTTACATATATGAATTTTAGCGGTCATACAAACTCCAATATAGACCAGTATATCAATTGTTCTAGCTATTGTGACATCACGTATCATATTAGGTTTAAGGAATAAAGACCGAGATTTTATGATTTATGGCGTGATATATGACCTAAATTTTTACTCTGTTCATTGTTAAAAGACCGAAATCGCTACACAAAGGCAAAGGCCAGAATAAAATTTGAGGTCATATATTTGACATAAAATCATAAAATCGAGGTCTTTGTTACGATTCTAATATGATAAACAGACAAGAAACACAACTATTTGTATTTATGAATTTTAGCAGTCATACATACTCCAATATAGACCAGTAGTAAATCAATTGTTTTAGCTATTGTGACATCACATATGATATTAGAATCCCATATAATGTATAACTTATGAAGCGTTTGATTACGTCAACAATAGAGAGGATAAGATTTCACCTTTTGGACAACAAAAACCTGAACGTGAACAGCGTTGTGCGCAACAAATTATGTAAACTTGTCAAGTTTGACTTGTTTTATAATCCCTTCGACGTGTAGATTCAATGTAAATTCAATAGGGTCAGTTGGAGTTAGGTCTTGCGTTGAACCTGTAACTCGAGAGATTGTGAGTGAGGTTCAGATTACATAACTTTTTAGTACTTATTTCACGATTTCAATCATTTTATACGGCCATTGAAACGCTAAACTCTGCTTTTTGTGTTGGCAGTAACATGAGTTTTGTTCCATGAATAAATGACTAAAAAAGCAAAACTATGTTTATTTATGTTCTTAATTTGAAAGTAGCATATCTGTCGAATAGTTGTGTATGCATTTAGTTGGCTCAAAATAATTATCTTGTGGGTAAACTAGCCCCGGGAAAATAGCATTTATTTCATAAGATCAATTATGAGTGATGATTGCCATCTTAAAATACAGGGTGTCTCAAAAAATGTACCCAAAAGTATATCAACAGCACAGCTAAATCAATATTTCCAAACATTTTTATCCCCAATACAGTTTTTAGTTCATTCAGTCTTGGCTTTTTGGTGGTTTAACCCTTTACTTTTTATTTCATACTTCAATGACAGCCTACATCCTCATGCTACATTGTTCATCACATTTGAAAATGTTTCTGGTGAAATGTTTTCAATTTCCCTTTGGATGTTGGCCTTACATTGTTCTAGGTCTTTTGTTGGCTTGAGATGGCTTAAAAATTTGGTTTAAAAATGCTCCTTCAAATAGCCCAGAAAGAGAAGTTTGATGATGAAGACGAAAGAACAATCCCATAACAGTTGATAACAGAGTTCCACCTTCCAGAGTTATGGAGACTGATTGATATTCAAATGAGAACACTGTAGTGTCAAAAAGATTGGGCCCCTCCACGTACAGTAAGGGTCATACAAGAATTCCCATGAAAGCAGTTTCTTCTACGTCTGATCTCTCTGAATAAAGACATTGCGAGAGCCTCCCTATTCATAAGATTTGACACCCCAGACCGTTTCTCTGGGGTAACTTATTCAAAGCTTGAATAACCATATTATGCTAATCTCAAGCCAAGAGACCTAGAACAACTTAAGGCCAACATCTGAAAAGAAATTCTAAACATTTCACTAAAAATATTATGAAATGTGATCGACAATGTAGCAGTAAGGCTGTAGGCTGTCATCAAAATATGAGGAGGTTTATTTTAAAACATGGTATAAAAAAGGGTTAAAGCATTAAAAAGGCATGATTGAACTAAACATTTAGTATTTGGGAGTAAAATTTTATGTTTTGCCTAAATGGCCAAGCAAGAAATATCTGAAAATATTGATTGGTTTATCTTTGCTGTTGAATTACTTTTGGGTACATTTTGTTGTTTACGTTTCGTCAACAGAGAATAAATCGCTTATTACTCAAAAGGAACATTTAGAATAACCTATATGTATACGCATAAATACAGGTTCACGTTTAGGTTGCCCATGCATCTTATCCTCTCTGTTTATTGCGCAGCTCTATACAGTACATCCATGAGTGAGATATTCTTATAAATCGTTGTTTATATGTAAGCATATCACACTTATGGACATATAGAGCTGTGCGATAAATGATGACACAAATGCTAAACCCAATAAACTCAAATATTTTCAATTTAACATCCCGAACGTAGTATTGCTATAATTCATGCTGTTATGTTACTTATGATTGTCTTGCAAATGGCCATGCATATGCAAGATATTGATACAAGGTATAGCATAGGCAATGTTCTTAGCCTTATGTTACTTATGATTTGCTGTGAAATTACTATGTAACCAACCTTTAACTTTCTTGTTCTCCTCAAGTTCCTCTCTAAGTTTCTCTGCATCCTCATGTTTATGGTTGTCACCAACACCCTCATCATTGTGCATGAGGACCCCATGTAGGCAGTCCATTCCAATACAGGGGCCTACAAATACCAGTTCAGTTTCAAAAATGATGCATTAAGATTCCCTTGAGATATCATAATATGTTATCACATATAAGAAAACTTAAGTCCTTTTTGGTTAGATATGCAAAAATCCTAATGTCATCAAAAGTGAGACAATCATTCAACAAGATTCCAAAATTATGTAGAATCCATCTCTTTATACAAGATTTGAAGACAGACACTCCAAGTGAACACTAGTACAAATCTTGACTCTGATTATTTTAAAATCCATCAAAATCTGTAAGTAAGGTAATTAAGTGAAAATATTTTGATTTTTTAGAACGAATTTGGAAGTGTTTGTAGTCATTTAATTATGCATTTTACCATGATTCTCGATTACCAAAACGTGAATCGTGATAAGCTAGAAATTGAAACAAAAAAGTGATAAAAATCTGATAACGTGCTACTTGGAGTATCTGAGAAGATAAGATTAGAATACTCTCAGTTGATAAAATTAGAATCCATCTCTCTGTGTTAATTATTCTTATTAGATATTATTAAAATATATCTTACCAGCAGCCCTCTTTGCCATATTTGGTGCTGCAATGCTGAAGTTTGGCATTAGCAACAAAATAATCAACATTTTGTCAATCATCATAATAACAGTCATTTTAATTATATTGTATTTTAATGATGAATAATTGCTTTCTACTTAATTTGTCAATGTCTCTGTAATTTACTCAGTTTTATCTTTTAATGAGTTGAACACTGTCTTGTGGCCCATTTCATCATAATTTTCATCATTCATTTCATCAGATCTAGAAATACCCACTTAGCTTGCATAGGGTTTTAATACAACTTCCCTTGCAAGAGTTTTATATTGCAGTTTTTCATGCTCTGCATATCAAAGAAAAAAAGTTAATTTAAAGAACACGTTTTGCATTAATTTTTATTCAAATCAATAATGTAACTTCTGCTGGAAGATTCTAGATTTGAATTGATTTTCAACAGCTGCTTTCTAACTACTATACTCTTCACCAAAACAGTCTCTATTAACTCTGCTTTCATATTCATATTCATATTGATTTATCCCATTGATTTGATTTGATAATTGTGTGATATTCATACCCTTGAAAAATAATGAGTAATTAAAAGATATGTGGGTAGCATAAGCTATGGTCCACCCATATAGCTCAGCGGTAGCGCGTGTACCTCTTACGCAATATTTTACGGATTCGATCCCTGGTTCAGGCATTAGTAATTTGCTTGTTATTTGCTTAAAGTACTTCAGGGCGTTTGGCTGAGTGGTCCACAACTTGTACAAAATCTGTATGAGTACATTACCTGTATGAGAGCAAATAAAAGAACACAGGGCTCCTTCAAGGAGGAGTTCCTGGGTCTGCCTTCCATGATTGCATACGTTAATTACAACTGTATATATACCCAAGTGGTATTGCTCACCTTCATTGGTGGTGAACAAAATACAATACAATATAGAGAGAATATTTGATATGATCATTCTATTCATGTGGCAATAGCTGTGCCACAATAATGGACAGAGACAGCAGATAACTAACAACCATGACCCTCCCCCCCTCTATACATTATTTTGATGCGTTTGGTTTGTATACTTCAGAAACTGCAGTACTACAAAATGAATTGAAGAAGATCAGAAGAATGTTTGAGAGAAATGGTGGTTCTAAAACAGGGGGGCAGTTCGAATGGGTAGACAGCCTTCTTGTGAATGCTTTGAGAGATGGTGATTGGCTGTTGATAGACAATGTCAACTTTTGTAGGTAAGTAGAAAATTCAACAAATACATTGTATGCAAGATTTACTTTTTCATGAGAATGTTTGCAAATAAATCATTAAATGAATAGGTGCACAATATGGTAAAATCAGTTAGGTCTTCTGTGATTTTTTAACTGATACGCTTAAAAGGTATGAGGTCTATTTAAAAAGGTGGAATCCCCCCAGCATGAAAAAATCAATCTTTTTCCTGTTAGCAGTGGAGGTCTTGACGACCTTCACGAACTAAAAATATTATAAAAGAATAACTAAAATAATACAGTGACTGTATACTGATCCACTCACTGTATGATATTTTGATGACTTGTTTTGTGATATTGTATAATTATGTAAGATAATAGGCCTGTGACACTTTGATTTTATGATGAAATAAACTACAATTTGTTCGCTAGGATTTGCAACTCCCATGAGTTGCAGTTCTCTAGTTTCAATCATGTAATGTTCAAAATGACAAGTGATTTGAGAAAATATATTTTGATCAGTACAATATGCTACTCCAGGGAGTTTTTTCTAGTTTCTCATTGAGCTAAAATAAAAAACCTAAAAAAAGTATTTACAGAACTTAACAAGAATAATATAATCCACATAAAATAAGATAACCCTTGCAGTTTAATACAAAGCATTAAAAGGTAATCATCATTTTTTTTTCATTTGCAACCCTTAGTGACCATGCTTTTGGGAATCATGATACTTTGTTTATAACAGATTTTGCTGTGTTTCAGTGCATCAGTGTTAGACCGTCTGAATGGCCTACTAGAACCTGGGGGTGTCCTTACTCTTAACGAGCGTGGCATCATAGATGGGGGGATCCCAACTATCAAACCACACAAAAACTTCAGGTATGAATATTTTCATCATTAGAAAATATAGGATATCCTATAACTTTTGAGGAATATCATATTTATGTCACAACCAAAAGTGTTAGCATATTGTTTTAGTCTCTAACTTTTTTGTGGACGCTGGTTGGTGTTCAGTGTCTGTAACAAATGGCACAGCATCTGTAACAAATGGCACAGCATCTGTAACAAATGGCAGTTGGTGACATCTTGCATGTTAATGCTTTGTATTCTCCAGGAGTCGAGAAAGGTAATATCCATGAGTGGATAAAAAATGTTTGCAGAGAAAATCATTAAAATATCAGGCCTTCCAAAATTATCTTGTGTTTTGATATATATATATATTATAAAATCTTTTATCCCATCCTTGGACGGGTAGCAGGTACGTCAAGCAGGTTTGTAAAAATTTATTTTCATTAGCGGGCAGATATATTATATTTGCCTCGGTATAATCCCAATATCCTGAACCTCATATAGGATAATCTCTATTCCATGGATTGTAAATATAAATGGGGATCACAACACAAGATGTTCAAAACACAACAGCCTAATACCTTATTGATTGTCAAAATGAAGTTTCATCCATTGTTATATGCTTATTAAATAGGATTTGAATGTTTCCATGCAACCACTTCATAACACCTGTTCAGTGAAGTCATTTATGTGGGCTATATTTTGAACATGCGAAGTAATATTTGAAAAATAGGATAAGTATGATATTCTATGATTTTCTTGGACTATCATTTTTATCCACAAATTATCTTCCTCAAAACTCATAGGATATACTTTATTTATTCCTTGATAACTGTGATAATTTATGGGATATTTTGTCAAAATAAAAATGGTATTTTTTACCAAATGGAAGAATCATATTTTGGCAATTTTTTTCAAAACCAGTTTTTTCAAAGTTTTCAATCCACGAGGTACAGCTACTGTACACCTATGATGGTTAAGGAATTTTTGCTACTTGACTCAAAATGAGCTGACAGTAGCAAATAATAAAATAAAATGATTTAAAAAAATTTCAGGCTCTTCCTAGCAATGGACCCGAAAAATGGTGAAATATCTCGTGCAATGCGTAACAGAGGTATCGAGATCTATCTCCTTGGTGAGGAGGAAGGTGGAAGCTATAGCAACCATGATGTCATGACAATGCTCCACAGCATGGGAATTGTGGGTAAAGAGCCTTGTGAGACTTTGATGTCAATTCATGATGTGATGAAACAAAACAGAAATGGCCCAGAAAAATTAACAGTGCTGGATCTGATGAACTGTGCACATCTTGTGAGCCAACAGTTGCAAAGAGGGTGCCATGCCAAATCAGCCATTTTGAATTCATGTCTAGATGTTTATGTGAAAACACAAAAGAATTTTGCCAGCAAACAGGTAATATAACTGTTCTGCTGCTTTAAGAGAGGAGCTTGTATATGTCAAGAATATATGAATACAAGTTGAAGCATGTTATTATAAGATTATGAAACTAATCACCATACTCTCTAACTGAAAAGGTTGAAAATATTATATTGTGACATTTCAAATTCATAGTTTAATGCATGACCATCATAACATTCTTCTCTGTGATTAATTTCATTTTTTCTCTCTTTTCAAGGCAGCAAAGGAAATCATAGAATCACACATTCAGCAGTTTGACCCTATTGGTTGGGAACTGACCAACGGGACATCAGCATTACTCAGAGTGGGTCAATGGCCTGTTGGAAGGCCAGATGTTACACAGTGGACACGCGAGAGTGCAGTATCTAACATCCAGCAATCTGCCTTCATCTTAACCCACATACTCGACCATGCTTCTCTCATATTCAACTCTGGCAAAAGGTTTGTTCAATGATTCAAGCACTGGGCTCAATGTTTTGTTTGAGAAATTTATCACAAGTTAATTAGGGCAAAGGGATGTAACATCAATGGGTGGGTAATGTTGACATCAGAAATCGGCTAAGAAATTAGAATTTCTGTTTTCTGCCATGTTTGATTTTGTAAGATCTCAATCCATTCGAGAAGAAAAACATGGCTTCCCCCTAGATCAGAAATATGAGCTAATAAGCAACAATGTATTGAAGTTACCCCTTATGTCGAAATGGTGTAGACCCCTTTGCCCTATCCCTCCAATTCAGGGATAAAGAGAAGCTGCCTGTCTATTCTTTATATTTACTGCCTACTTGGGGTTTTGTTTTCATGTCATGTGCCTAGCTATTTTAGATTTGATTTTAACAATAATCTACTTTCTTCATGTATCACAAGTTGTTTATGAATTGACTCTGTATTCTTGATGAATAATTTCACAACTTCTTTTCAAGTTCTCTTGCACTTCAAAAGTATGTTAATAATTCAGAATAATTATAGACATTATATGATTCACTTTTTAGCTCAGCACTGAAGTTGACGTACCATGAAGTAGAAGACGAATCGTGTAAACTGTCCCACAATGCTCTAGCGTCTTTGTTGCCATATTTCCAATATGCCATAGAATTGTTCATAGATGGCGCTTCTAGCAATGACTGGCAGCTGAGACTAACTTGGCTTTCACAAATCATGCATGAACGGTTCGGCAAAGATGTGATGTCAACCTTGAGAAATGAAAAAGAATCAGAGGGAACATTAAAAAGTAAAAATGAGACCCAGCTCGCAATTCTCGAAATGTTACAAGAATTTGTCAAACAGACATTTGGAAAACTTTTCCAAAGTGAGACATTTTCTCAACTGATGGCTGAGTGGAAAACATCAAACATATCTGGAGAAGGTAAAGAGTTAATTTATGAATAGATTAGAAACATCATGCAATGTTCATTATCTTCATAGGCTTTTGAGAGAACACTTCTAACGTTCAAAGTCATCAGTAATTTTCTACAATTAAAGAATTGAATTTAGACTTAAAAACTTCTATCTATTTCACATATATTCCATGTTTTTCACCCTGACCCCCAGGGGCCATGAATGGGGGGGGGGGTGTGGTTGATAATTTCCTGACCCCTTCAAAGTATGGCTGTAATATTATACTCACATTGAAGGATTTTAGAGTACAGTGTAGATCACAATTATGGTATTTTTTCTGATTCGTGCCTCAGAAAATTCAAAATTGCTTGTATCGTTTTGTTATGTCACCACCAAAAAGTGGTGACATATTGTTATGGTCTCCGTTTTTTGTGACGACGGTTGGTGATCGGCGGTTGGCGTCTGTAACAATTCTTTAAACTTCCAATAACTTAACAAATACTGTTGAGACTGACTTCAGTTTTTTTCAAAATCTTCTACAAGTTTTCAGAAGTTCAAATCTGAGATTATACTTAAGATTTGACCTTCGGTGACATTTTCATGGTCGAAAAAAGGTCAAAAAGGTAAATCCATTTATTAGTGTTCATTGTCACAGACTTTATTACAATTTTTTGTTTTAGACGTTTCGAATGCAAACTGCACCCATGATCACTAAATTTAAATTGAAAACAGTTGAAATGAATACAGGTAAATCTACTATTACGTCATTAAAACTTAACAATGTCAAAAAATAATTAATTTCTATGGCAATATAACTTCATCCCACAAGCGATCTAGATTGAAGTTGCTCATGTCTCTATTGAAGTTTTTATGTTTTCTAATGTGAATGGCTTCTCTTATCAACCTATTGATTCTGTTCCTTTCTGTGCTAACTATTTTATAATTGTTCCAATCAATTTTGTGGTTTTCTTGGAGAATATGATCTGCAATCGCTGATTTATTAAAGCTGTTAAAAGAATCTTTTTTATTGTTTCTAGTGTAGTGACTCTTTTTCTTATCTGCTTCTGTTTTGTGTTCCTTGATGCGAGTGCCAAGAGGTCTACTTGTTTCTCCTATGTAACTTTTATTATCCCAACGAACGAAGTTCGGTAGGGATATAGTGAAGCCCTCCGTCCGTCTTTCCGTCTGTCCGTCAGTCCGTCAGTCCATCAGTCAGTCAGTCCGTCCGTCTGTCCGGAAGATAACTCAAATACTACTGGACGGATTTTCTTCAAGATTTTTTTTCAAGATGGCCGCCGCTTTAAAAATGACGGGACTTTTTCGCAAAAATCCTAAATTTTTCATTCTAAACCAAAGTAATTAATATCATTGTTTGAAATTTTGGTAGTATATTCGCAACATCTATCTATTTCACATATATTCTGTGTTTTTCATCCTGACCCCCAGGGGCCGTGTATGGGGGGCCAGGAAAACAGAAATTTTCGCTAATTTTTAGATCTTTCTGAAGTATAGCTTTATTATACTCAAATGAAAGGCAATGAAAAGTAGATTGCAAATATTGTATCCTTTTCTGATTCGAGCCTCGTAAAATTCAAAAAGGCCGTCTAATGTACGATTTCGCAATAATTTTTCGATCCCTTCAGAGTATGGCTATATTATACTCAAATTGAAGGAATTTTGGAGTAGATCACAATTATGGTATTATTTTTCAGATTTGTACCTCAGAAAATTCAAAATGGCTGATTTGCAGGAATTCGCAATTCTAAAATCTAAATTTTTCAATTTTAACCAAAGTAATGAGTATAATTGATTGGAATTCGGTAATTGATATTTTGTTCGTTGGGATTTGCTACTCCGTGGAGTTGCCGTAATCTAGTTACAATTGTTGCATGGAACTTGATATACCACGTTCGCTTTGCGATTCTGTTTGACCTTATCTTTAGAATGAACGAGAACATTTCGAAGTGTTTGCATAGGTTTAAAAGCTACTTTGATATCTTTTTTTTCATTATTCTTCTAATTTGCTCTGATATATTTTTCACATAGGGTATGGTTACTACCTTTCTTATTTCTGTCTTGTCCTTATTTGTATCTGCTTCACGTTCAAAACGTTCCTGTCTCTTTTTAATAGTCCATTTTAGAAACGTCTAAAACAAAAAATTGTAATAAAGTCTGTGACAATGAACACTAATAATAAATGGATTTAATATTACCAGACTATGAACTTCTTTCATGTGGTCAAAAAGGTATTTTTTCAAATTGCTTGAAATTGACCAACTTTTTTTCAAATTATCTACAAGTTATCAGAAGTTCAAATCTGACTTTAGATTTGAGATGTAGACTGACTTCAGTTTTTTTCAAAATCATCTACAAGTTTTAAGAAGTTCAAATCTGACTTTATACTTAAGATTTGACCTTTGGTGACCTTCTCAAGGTCAAAAAATTCAAAATCATCTAAAAATTTAAATCTGACTTAAGATTGAACTAATGATATTGTGAGCAACTAGGTGGTGACATTTTGTCATGTTAATGCCTTGTATTGTCTTTATGATTTGGTCACCCAAATTCTTAAATCGATGGAAATTCTTATATAACTCTAATCATTATACATGTATGTCTCTAATATCTGCCAGTTTAATCAATGGTAGAGTAGATGGTCAATATAATGTTGTGACATATACATGTATAGATTCCTGAATATAGTGTTCATTGGATTTGCTACTCCATGGAGTTGCCAATTTCTAATTTACATCACTAAATATTCAAAAGTGATTGCATCTACGTGTAAAATTGCATCTAGAAATGTGGTTTCAAAATTTGTTTAGCTTTCTTTGAAATGTGACTTCTAGGTTCGAAAAAGGTCAAAAAGACCTCAGAAGTTCAAATCTGTCTTAAGATTTGAAATTTGACCTTCAATGACATTCTCAAGGTCAAAAAGGTATTTTTCAACTTGCTTCAAATTAACCAATTTTCTTTTTCAAAATCATCTACAAGTTATCAGAAGTTCAAATCTGACTCTAGCTTTGAGATTTGACCTTCAATGACCTTCTCAATGTCAAAAAGGTCTTTTTTTCAACTTGCTTCAAATTAAACATTTTTTTCAAAATCATCTACAAGTTCTGAGTTCTCAGAAATTCAAATCTGACTTAAGATTGAACTCATAATATTGTGAGCAACTAGGTGGTGACATGTTGTCATGTTAATGCCTTGTTTTGATATTGTGGTTAGCTTTGTTGGAAGGGAATTAACATCACATTTATCAGCTTCAATTAATCATTCTCTTTGATATACCCTGATGGGCCATCTTCTCCTTTTACCCTAAATACAATGATTTTAATCTCTGCAATGAATCTTTTCTCACACAACAGAACTCAATGATTTAAATATACCAAGTTTAATACCTGACATTTGCCCTTATCAAAGTTCTTATTTTCTTTTGAATCATTCATGTCTTGAATGAAGTTTCATATATGATTTCAGAATGTATACATTTTAATTTTGTTGTAAGGGGAATTAATGAAAATATCAGAGGGTTGTCCCAGGTGAGTTTAACCTTGTGTTTTCTATCTCATCCAGTCAATTGCCATTCAGTATTCATGAAAGGTTGGAGCCTTCCATTTGCCATGATTTTAATTACCCATCATTCAAAGCTTTAACAGGAGATGTTATAAGATGTCCGTATTTCCATCAAGGTCACTATCATGTAACCAATTGGATAAGTGCTACTTGAAAT